ATTCAGATCTCAAGCTGACTTCAAGATAAAATAAAAATTAAGTTATTAACATACACAGCAATATATTTGAATACACAAGATATAATCCTGATTATAATATCACTTTAAATATATATTCTTTTGTGCTCTGCAAAGCATTTAAAAATGCTGTAAGAATACAGATAAAAATCAAGTTACAAAGATTATAAGGAAATAATTAATGGTTCTACTGAACACTAGTGAGCATACCAAGAAATTACAGTTGAGGACATAAAGCTGTGTGTGTGTATGTGTGTGTGTCTTCTCCCAATCACTTTAGATTTGTTTTCTATCATAAAATTTCTCCTTCATCTTAGTCTAAGAGAAAAGTTTATTTTGTTCCCTTATTTAAGCCAATCTCCATTTTAAATGGATATTTCTGTATAAAAGATTGTAAATCAGACTAAATATTCTTACTTACTCTCTTTTTCAACAAAGAAAAGATGAGCAAGACACACAGAGCGAGTCATTACAGCATGATTACCATTATCAAAATGCCACTCAGAGTTTTCTGTGACCTCACAGGAGAAGAAAAATCTACACTATTCCTTTTATTTATACAGCTAGCCGGAGATACCGAATAATAAATTATTAAGTTCACAGCTATCACTGAATACAAAGAGTATATTTAGTTGTACCTAAGGAGCTTTGGTAGCATAGTGGCTAAAAGCACTTGACTGCTAACCAGAAGGCTGGCGGTTCAAACCCACCAGCCACTCCTCGGAAGGAAGGTTGGGCAATCCTACTTCCGTAGTGATACTGCCTCGGAAACCCAAGGAGGGGTCGCTATGAGTCGGGGCCGACTCAACGGCACACAACAACAACAATGCGATTTAGATTATTCATTAACGTTCACTTTTTTTTAGGTATTTAAACTTAATAAACATGCATAAATAAAAAGTCAGTTGAATCAGATGTATTTTCTCTGGCAAAATAACTGCCACCACCACCACCACCACTACCACTACCGCTTCTGCACTTGTTCTCATGCCAACCATACCAAAAAAACAGAGGTAATTTACTCTCAATTTCACAACTAAAACTTTTAAACAAAGCCCTATAACACTTACGTACAATTCTTTTTGTAAATACTTACATTGGGTTTTAGATGCTGCATTTTAAGCTCAGATATTGATTTCCTGATCTTTCATCAGACTGTTGGCGTAGTGCCTAAGGCATCTGACTGCTACCAGAAGGTTGATGGTTCAAACCTACCAGCCGCTCTGTGGAAGTAAGACTGGGCTATCTACTTCCGTAAAGATTTACCACCTCAGAAACCCAAAGGGGGTTGCTATGAGTCAGAATTGACTCAATGGCAGTGAGTTTGGTTTTATACCACTTGAATGCTAAATTTCAGTATATGTAATCCCTATTTAAAAACTGTCAGATAAAAATAAAGATAAAAATTTCTCATCTCACCTAAAGACAACAGTAACTAGGATGCTTCGGTAGTTAGGGTAGTACAGTGTCTTGACTGACTGGAATGCTATGCTTTAAATAGGGTTACTCAGTAATACTGTATCCCAAACTAATGATTCTGCTGTACTATACATATAAATTCTGGTAAAATTTCTGGGATCTGACTCAAATGCTTACTGATCCCAGGATATCCTTTGGAAGTTAATCCTTTGGAGGTAACTCCTTGCTATATACCATTACAGTATCATTTATTACTTCCCTAAAAGTGGAAAATATGAGAGGCTGGTTAGCTGGTTCCAAATAAAAACGTCTTTAGCTCTGAAGGACAGTAATAGTAATTCCTCTCAACATTTAATACACAGGACTCTGCGTTCACATCCCACATACAGGGACAAAATTATTTTTAAACATCAAATCAGTATGGACCAAAACCTCCTCAACAGTATGGATTCTTCTCCAAATGGATACTGTAAAGATTAGAGAAAGGAGTACAGGGAAGAGGTAGTTAGAGCACGTTTTCTTTCAGTCTTCAAATAAGTTGGAATATTTAGTACAGTGGTTGTCTTGTCAATCTAAAATTAATTTAAAACTATTATTCACAGATCATATTTAAAAATGGACGAATCAAATATAAATGAATTATAAAAGAAACATAAATAGTTACGATACAAAGATACTTTAAATATCAAATATAAAGACAAGTTACACATAACAAAAGAATAGCTTAAAGTTTAAAATTCTGGATATAAATGTTCTCTAAAGCCCAAGGTACTATATATCTAACAATAATAGTAACTACCATTTAACATGTACTATGTGTCAGAGACAGTACTAGACCCATTACGTCCACATAATCTCATTTAATCCTGACAACACTTCTGCAACAATAAGTGAAAATAAGAACCAGTATGTGGAATCACAAAGGTCTGACTTCAAAATCTGTGTGTTTTTCTACAATACCATGCTACCTCTCTAGAGAGTTAAGAAATCGAATTGAAAAATTTTCCCCAAAGTTTTTACATTAATGTTTCAGTAAAAGATTCTCCAAAATGTCCTGGAAAGATACTACCTGATTATATTTGCTCAGTCATCACTCACCTGCTTAAGAAAATAAACACTTTGTTACCATTCTGTTTAATGGGTTGCAGCTACACGTGGTTTCCCTTGGCTCAGAAAATCAATCTCTCTTAAAAGCACTCCAGCTTTCCAGTAGAACGTCTACGGTAAGTAAATTCTATTTTTTACTACCAGATGTTACAGGTGTTGTTTAAAGATGATTGCTTGGTGATAGTATAAATTTTAAAACTAGATTTTTATCTATAAAATGGACAGTAGGAGCAACAATGACAAAAACCTTAGCGTAATAAGTCAGAAAAATACCAGCACAAGTTTGAACTCTTACCTTTCTTGCCCAAGTCAGATATTTTATTGAAAAGAAAATTACAGTACTTAAAAATCCAAAGAAGGACAATTCAGGGTTGAAAAAAAGAAAAACTGAGAAAGCCCACTGTCTTCAGTAAAATTTTGAATACAACAAACAAAGACCAGGAAAACAGTTTACGGCCTAATGCATGAGTTCCATGATAAACACACATATATAGTATATCTCCATCAAGTGAAACTTAATCATTTTTTTACAATTTAGAGAGGGAAAGCAGCTTTTAGTATGGTTAAGCCATGTATCATCAGTACCATGAAGCTAACCTATCAGTTGTAATAGCTTCTATAAAATACCACAGTGAGATTGCAATAAGCCTAGAAAATGGGCTACAAATCCCAGCTATGCTCAAGCAAGCAGTGAACCAAAAATAAAAATAGGTAAAACTGAACCAAGAACTAGATAGCATTCATCTAGATTCATGATTAGTAAGGCAAAGTTCATAGGCCAAGGTTTTAAAGTGACTTATTCATATCTAAAAGACAGTCATTATACAAAATAAAATAAAAGCATTTATGTAATTCAGAAAAGGAAAAAAATAATGAATTTCCACTCCAAAGAACATAGCACACAAAAACTTACTTACAATTACCAAACACCACATTACTATACCTTTAAAATATCAATTTAAATATGCAGTGGTAAAAAGGCTCAAAGTTATCATTTTTAATCTCTTCAGTCTAGGAAAGCAATCTAAAAGGAGATCTGTCATACATTTCAACTCAATACATTTTTTGAAATCTTTCAAATTGCAGTAACTTTAGGTAAAGGCAGTATCAATTTTACGTTTCTTTTCCAAAGATCATATTTAAGTTGACCATTAAATGCTGAATTAACATTCTATATAATAATATAAAAATACACATATTAAATCACACTGTTTTGATCAATTTTTGGAACTTAATAAAAATGTTAATCATCCTAACACAAGCATTTGGAAGAACTCAGATGGCCTGAAGGTAGTATCAACTATATCATCAATAAAAATGTTACATTTTTCTATCTGCTTGCTGATATGAGCTCATGCAAATATCTCAGATACTTACAGTGACACACATGGTTTGCCATTCTAAGGATATGCAAGCAGCGCTTATTTTTAAATCCAGTAACATGATTCAAAGTCATACAATATTTGTTAAAATACTAGCTTTCACATGATTTTATTAAGCTATAAGCCAAAATCTTAATTTTGATTGGGTTCAGGCAGCAGAAAAAGCAGATAATTTAAAAAGTGAAAGTAAACGATTCTGCTAATGTAAACTAGTTATTACTGTGGGTCGTGCAGAATTAAGATCATTTTCATTACTACAATGAAAACTATACCAGAAAGTACAATGAGTTTGCAATACAGAGCAGATTATCCAAGTAGAAAGCAAACGGAATTAAATACAAACTCCAGCAAAGACTGTCAACCTTACCTACTACTACTCATCTTAGCCCTTGTTAAAACACCTGAGTAAAATGCAAATATTTTAAATAATGCTGGTTTTATAAAATTCCTCTAAAAATGAACCATCAATGTCAATGCATCACATTTTTTTATTTACAACAAGATATGTAAAAATTAATTCTTAACCAGTCACAATATAAACATTAAGGAATGCTTAGGTTAGATCTGAATGTTTTTAACTTTCTAACTATTGGCAGCATTTTGGCAAAACAAGTAATACATAAATGGATTCAGTGTGAAAGAAAAACCATAAAAGAGAAAAATATATAAAATTTACAGTTATTTCTACCATCCCTGGGCCAACCTAGATGCCTAGAAAGCCTCCCCAGTCAGGTTCACTTCTGACTAAAAGGAAAAATACCAGTCCTCCAGCAAAAACAGCCCCATCTTTTCATCAAAGAGGCTCTCACTTCAATGATATTCCTCCAGGGAAGAGGACAGGAGCCAGGTTCCCTCGAATGTCATTCCCCAGATGTTCAAAACGTAACTAATTTATTAGCATTAGAAGATTTGGTTTATAGGGGAATCTCACTGGTCCAGTTTGTAGCCTACAAAAAAATGGATTATTTTTAAATATAACATTAGAATATGAAAAAAGGATGAGGATGTGGCTTTTTATTCCATAGAAATGGAAACATTTCCAAACAAAACAATTAAATAAAAAAGCATGCCTACCATTGAAGTTGGGGTCCCTCCAGATTTTTTAATATTCTTTGAAGGCATTCCATGAAGGCGACTGAGTCTAGCTTGGAAACCTGAAAAATCAAAGTACTCAGTTTAGGAGATCCTATGATCAATGAAGCATATAAGAAGACCCTATCAATACAGAATTATTTATAAATAAGTATTGGGGGGATGGAAGCACATCATGAATATTAGTAGGGACAATGCAAAATTCACACTTACAAGATCTGAAGCAATGCCTAGCTGGGTTCTAAAGCAGTCAGCTCACAACCATCCACTGTTCAAGTTCTAAGGTATTATCTAGGACCTTTCATTTCTCCTAATTCACCTTCCAACTATTTCAACATTTTTTTCAACAGGCTTAGCAAGGAAGTAAGTCAATTTTGCTAATAATTCGAAAGCATGATAAATATTGTGGCTGATTTAGTGGCTGACGTGTTGGTAATTAGCATCTTGTATTTAGATTCCTCAGTTTTCATTTTAGCCTCTCCTCTTTCAAGGGATACTCCACTGTATCCACCAGTCAGGCACTGCTACTGACCTCTTCTGCCCGGATGCGATATAAGGGGGAAAGAACCAGTTAAGAAACTCTCAAAGACAGGATCTGGTACATTTTTGTCAAGCTCGGTAGGATCTTCCTTTTCCCACCAGGGCACGATTCCAGTAATACCACAGGCTCCACCTGATTCCTTTTCGTAGAACCAGTCACTCTGCTCATCATCACCTGTACAAATACAATAAAACCCCAAAGATTAGAGTTGTCAGACTTAGCAAATAATAATACAGGATAGCAGTTAAATTTGAATTTCAGATATACCATAAGTATTTTTAACATGTCCCAAATACTGGTATTATGTTTTTACTCTAAGTATTTCCAAATATTGAACGTAACATATTTACTTACAAATCATGCTATTTATCTGAAATTACAATTTAACTGGGCATCCTGCATTTTATCTAAAAACCCTATATATGACCTATGAAGAAAACTTTTTTATTCTACATCACAGCTTCACTTCAGAAACACCTTTAAATAATATGACAAGCACTGCCATCAACACATAAAATGCAAAGTTTTAGAACTAACTTTAAAATGTGAAAAACAGTAACAACTCTAGAGAAGTCCATTTAAGTGACTATTCTTTCCACATTGAGAAAAAACAAGCTTAATCTCCTACTGGGAATTAAAAGGTATTTAACTGTGGAACCCATTCTCTACAGCTGATAATGGTATACAATTAGCTTAATTTCATGATTTGTATGGAATGTAAAAGGAGAAACAATCATGAACAGATGTGACTAAATGAAATTAATCTGATTAAGTTCATTAAGAAATAGTTTTGAAAAAGTTGACTTCAAATAAAAAGGGACAGTACAACAGTGTTTATGAAGAAACTATGTTGGACAATGACAGGCCAGTGATTTTGAAAACGCCACACTCTCCAGTAAGTCTGACTTTTGGGAACATTGAGGAGTGTCACCAGAGTAACAATCGATTTAAAATCGAGTCTGAGATATGTCCATAGGGTGAATTAACAATGCTTTGTTTTTGTTTTTTTCAAAGGAATATTAAAGAGATGTGTTACGAGACAAAAATACAGAAGAAGGCAGATGAGTTTTAAGAGTAAGAGACAGATAGCATTCTCACACAATGGTCTGAGACACATTAAGTCGTCTCTGTGACTCTTAAAATTCACTACAAATTCTAGCTCCTAAGTGGGTTGTCACAGCTGCCATAAACTTTTTCAATTTTGAGAGAGTTTTGATTCCAAAATCTCTCACTGTAAATATTTTAAAAGACAAATCAAAACAAAAACTTTAAACATTGATTAAAAATGACTTTATGTGAAAAAGCAATATTTCAAATTAAAAGGAAGTGAAAAACCAAAAATTCTTAAAGCATGTGGAAAACCAAAGTCATCAGCTTGTTTCAAGTGAGGACTGATAACAATGAATTACTGCAAAACAAAAAGCAGTAACAAAAAAAAAAAAAAAAAATCAAGAACAATCTCCCAGAACTCAAATATTAATACTTTTACTGAGAGTCATATGAAAATTCAAAAATCAAGTTTAAGCACAAGGAAACAGAAGTTGTCACTTGAAACTGACTATGCTAGATCATAATTCCCTTTGAGACAATGCTGTTACTGTACCAAAAGGTTCTTTTATTTTACTCTGAGTTGCAAGATCAAAGAGCAAATGATTAAGAACCTGGACTCAGACACAGGCCAATTAGTATCCTAGTGTTCTGTAACACTAGAGAAAGTTACTTTAACTCTATAACCCTTGGTTTCCTCATTAATAAAACAAAGGAATCTCATAGGCTTGTTTCAACAAAGCTTGTTTCATTAAAGTAAATTAAATGCCAGAAGAGCATGTAGCAATATGAAATACAGTAAACTCATAATAAAAGCTAACCTATTATTCTAAGCCACTCAATGTTTTTCAAAGGCTTGTCAAGTGATTCTTTAACAAAATGTTTTCAAGTTTATTCATGAACAAATTCAACATGCCATCAAGTAAGTTCTGACTCATAGTGACCGCACAGGACAGAGTAAAATTGCCCCACAGGGTTTCCAAGGCCATAAATCTTTACAGAAGCAGACTGCCTTATCTTGCTAGCACAGAGGAGCTAGGGAGTTTGAAAAGATTTTTTTTGTTTGTTTGTTAATGCAGCTGAATGCTTTAACCACTGTGCCACCAGAGTCTCAATATAGACATCTATATTTAAAGAATCATTTTAGGTATACAGTACTATCAAGGTAGTCAAATTCACTCTCAGCACTGAGGTTCTAACATATTTTGGTAAAATTTACTTAACTTTAAAATGTCTATAACTTTTAAAACAGTTAATGTACCTATTTACATGGGTCAAATAGCTTATAAGCAAACAAAAATGAATGCCATTTATTTATTTTACTTGTACTGCCAAGGGGATAAAGAGAGTAAGAAAAAGTATGAGCCAACTATACTTGTACTTTTTTTTCATACCAATAAACTGTTTACTCATAATTTAAATGGTATTTTGTTTTTTCTCTTAGAAATTACTGCCTTCCTCTAGTGTATGCTCAAGAAAGGAAGATGACATTTGTTGTATTTATATGTATATCTCCTTAAGGTTTTCATATTTTCTTCCAGAATAGGTAGCTTCAAAATATTGCCATGTCAGTGTGAAAAGCTTCAGGAAATTTCAGAGACTGAAATGATCTAAGTTGTAAGACATTTCTCTTTAACAGAGTATAATACTGAACTCATGAAAATTATCTAATTACTTGAAAACTGGAAAGAATGAGTAAATGTCACAGCTGAATAAAAATGACAAACGACTTGCAAATCAACCCTTATTAATGCTTTAACAGTTTTAAATACATTTGGAGCTAGGTAGAGAATGATAACCTGTGTCTTTCGAATTTGCTAAAAGGGACCAAATTGAAAAGACTGAAGGATGTAAAGCTTTCCCAAGGAAGATAATCCTTCCTTAAAACTATTAGTTCCACATACTAGCTCTTGGAGACAATCAAAAGGTTTAATTACTTTAGGTCATGAAGACAGGACACCTTTCATAGCATGTCAAAGACCAGTTACAATACCAAAACCCCAGTCCATTAAGCAGTGTGTGCAGTCATCAACTTAGAAAATAACTAGTGATAAACAGAACTTAAAAATGAAGATGCTTTTCCAAAGAAAGAACTCGTAACATTTCAGTACCTTGTCTTCCCTCATCATTGGTAAACAAACCAGCATCAGTGCTGCTGAGACTGCTGGAATCACTGTAATAAGGAAAAAGAAAGAAACAGATCAAAAGAAAAATTGATCTTTCAGTTGTAAAATTTTAAAGAGAAATGGCAGCTCAGAGATGGAATTTAAGCCTGACAAAGATCTGAAAGAAAATAAGACAATTTTTTTTAATCAAACTGCAAATATCCTGGTTCCATTAACTACAGAGCATATTATTTTTGGCACATAAAACCCCAGGAATCTAATGGGACCCTAACAGTAAGCCAGATGCGACTGCAACGAGGTGCTGACACAATTGATGCATTTTATTATCTGCTTTCATCAAATGTTCACTGCTCCTTTCTTATGCCACACAATTCAGCTTTAACTCAGAACACCACTGCTCAACAAAATGGAAAAAGTCTCAATCAAAAGCAGGCTAAACCTTTCTTCAGCACATGAAATCCAAGGGCCTGGGGATGAAATTATTTTTCATAACCACATTTGCAAATATTCTGGAAAAGACATTACTTAAGTCACAACTCTATTGCTTGGCAAGGTAAAAAAAAAAAAAAAGTGCACAATGATGGCAATCTATTAAATCAAAGTTATGGTTACTCTGAGTAAAAAAGAATACTTCCACAGAAGTTCTACAGTATGATAGTCAAATATTACATACAAAGTAAAACAAACAGTAATTATTTGACTTGTAATATGAACAAACTGTCAAGTTTCAAGAAACATTCATTATATGATAATCTAGTTGTTTAAAAATACCATGACAAGTGATGAACTGAGAGGTTTGATCTCTAAAGAAAAGTGAGTGATGTTCTTTAAAAATTCTCATGTACTTTCTGCTTACTGTAATTTTTAATTTCAATCAGGAAAGTGCCCCATGTTATTCCACTTAATTAAAATACCTTTCCTATTAACATGCAGAATTCTGTAAACTGACTTACTTAAAAACAAAGTAAGGACAATAAAGAAAAACTAAGGAAATTCAAATAAAGTATGAACTTCACTTAATAATAATTATCAGTATTGGCTTATTACCATGACTCTAATATAAGAAATTAACAAGTGAGTGTATGGTATATGGGAACAAGGCATACAATAACTATCTCTGCAACTTTTCTGTAAATCTAAAATTAATTACACTGAAAGAAAAAGGTTATTTAAAAAGCATACATATACCTTTGTGTGTATACACACAGAAATACACACATACACACACAACTTGTAAGAAAAGAGTCTTCAATTTAAAGTTTCAAAATTTCTTCCTCACACTTGAGTTAAATTGGATTTCCAAGTCATCTATGGGTAATCCTCCACCTAAATTCTTCCCATTCCATCTGTGGTCCCTTTGTTTATGTTTCTTCTCCAAGTGGCATCCCTGTCTCTTCTCTCCTCACTCACCACCAGCTCATGCTTCTAAAGATTTAAGGAAATCATGATTCTCCTTCTGAGAAAAGCTCTCATATCGCTAAAAGATTCTCGTCTTACTTTGAGATCCTTTTACATGTATGTATACAATAGGTTTCCTTATTGACACTTTGTCTCATTGAATTTAACTAGTTGTTCCATGTACAACATGTACTTGTTACTGTGTTCAATACATCAGAATAAGAACTTAAATACAGTACAAACATGGGAGCAGGATACAAACCCAGAAAATAACCCTGAGGAAGAAACAGCATTGGAACTCCCTGATAAGAAATTCAAAAGAATTATATTTGAGCATTTTCAATGGATTGAGAAACAGATCAAGGAAAACACAAGATCAAAGAAAACACTGACAAAATTAAGGGGAACACAGACAAAACTCTAGAACAATTTAGGAAAACAATACAAAAACTAATTGACAAAATAAACATGAAATTAGAAATGATACAAAAACAACAAATAGAAATCCAGAAGATTAATACTAAGATTTCAGAAATAGATAACACATTGAGGGGGCCAAGGAACAAAACCAAATCAGTGGAAGATAGAATTAATGAAATTGAAGACAAACACTTCTACTTTGGTAAGGATCAATCAGAAAAAAAGATCAAAAAAAAAAAAAAAATGTAGCAAGCCTAACACTCATGTGGGATTCCATCAAGGGGAATAACCTATATGTAATCAGAATTCAAGAACAAGAAGAGACAGATAAAATCACAGAGAAAAATGTCAAAGATTTGTTGGAAGAGAATTTCCTTAATATGATGAAAGATGAGAATATATTCATTCAATTATTTCAGTGAACCCCAAAGAGGATAGACCCCAACACAAAATTACCAAGACATATCATAATCAAGCACACCAAAACCAAAGACAAAGTATCCTGAAAGCAGCATGGGAAAAACAAAAAGTTACCATAAAGGGCAACCAATAAGACTAAGCTTTGATTTCTCAGCAGGAACCATGCAGGCGAGAAGGCAATGGGATGATATATATAAAAGCACTGATAGAAAAAAAATCTCTAACCAAAAATTATATACCAGCAAAACTGTTCCTCAAATATAAGAGTAAAGTTAGGAGATTTCGCAGATAAGTAGAATTTTTTTTTTACCAGAATTTGTTAAAAGCAGACCAACTATACAAAAGACCTTTCAGGGAGTCTTTCTGATAGAAAACCAATAACAGTAAGTGACAATCAATGATTAACACAGATGATGACATAATCCAGAAAACAACCTAGTTACAACAGTATCCAATGTAAAATAAGCTTACAAGATTGTAAAAAGGGAACCAGAAACATCAATTGGTAAATGAGGGCAACTACAAACCAAACAGAGGCAATAAATAGTATAGTTACAGAACTTCTAAATGGTGAGGAAGTCAAGAGAATTGCAAGATAGAATGGACTGTTCTAAACTCAGGAAGAAAGTTATAAACCATAGGGTAACCTCAAAGACAAACGATAAACCTTCACATCACAATAAAAAGAGGACAAGCATAAATATTTAACAAATACTAGAACAACAGCAATGAAGGAGATAATATGATTGATAAACAAAATGAGCACAGCACAGAAACTTATATAGAATAAAGAAATCAGCAACACCATGAAAAAACACATAACAAAATCACACAAACAAATTCATACTTGTCAATAATTATACTGAATGTTGATGGATTAAATGCACCACTCAAGAGATGGAAAGCTGCAGACTGCGTTAGAAAACATGGCCCACGAATATGCTGTATACAGGAGACTCACCTTAGACACAAAGACAAAAACAGACTAAAAATTAAAGGTTGAAAAAAAAAAATATGGCAACCATTTGGCGAGAGGGGTAATATTAATATTTGATGATTAGACTTTGTGACAAAAACCACCAAAAGAGACAAGGAAGGATATTATGTAATAATTAAAGGATCAACTGAACAAGGGGACATAAACATAATAAATATCTATGGACCCAGTGATAAAGCCCTGAAATACATAAAGCAGACTTTAACAGAAATGAAAAGACATATAGATGACTCCACATACTAAAACTAAAATACCAAACTCACTGCCATCAAGTCGATTTGACTCAGAGACCTCTCCTTGGGTTTCCGAGGCAGTTATCTTCATAGTAGGAGACTACTGTCTTTCAATCAAAGATAGAACAACTGGAAAGAAACTCAACAAAAATGCGGAAGAATTAAACAATACAATCAATTAACTTGACCTCACAGACATCTACAGAGCACTCCACCCAACAACAGCAAAATATACATTCTTTTCCAGCATACATGGAACACTGTCCAGGACAGACCATATGTTAGGCCACAAAGCAAGGCTCGATAAATCTAAAAACATTGAAATAATGTAAAACATCTTCTCAGATCACCATGCTATAAACTTTTGACATCAACACTAGGAAGACCAATGGAAAAAGAGCAAATGCATGGAAAAGAGTAAAACCCTCCTTAAAAACAACTAGGTAACAGAAGAAATAAAAAATGAAATTAAAAAATTCCTTAAATCAAACAAGAATAAAACCACAACATAACAGAATCTCTGGGACACAGCAAAAGCAGTGATCAAAGGGCAATTTATAGCAATACAAGCACACATAAAAAAGAAGAAGCAAAAGCCAAAATCAACACCTTAATCAAACATCTGCACCAATTAGAAAAAGAACAGCAAAAAAACGTTAAAGACAGCAGAAAAAAAGAAATAATAATGATCTGAGCAAAAATAAATGAAATGGAAAACAGAAAGAAAACAGAAAAAAATCAACAAGAATAGAG